ATGGAGCAGCCAACAGGCCATGCTGGGAGAGGATGGTGCACAGGGCGCCTTGGGTCCTTCTGGTCCCTTAGGAAACAGCTCTGTGGTAGGACATCGTAAATCCCAAGCTTATGGAGGCTGCTAGGCCATTTTGGTGCAGGACAGGGGCTCCATCACCACCTAGCACCAATGTCCTGTCTGCAGGACACACTCTTTGGGCTCCCCTGAGAGAGGGGAGCAATGGGCTGAAATGGTGTTGGTACCCCTCTGCCCGCGAGATGTTTTCTCACTTTACCTCTCCGGTTGTGTCGGTGCCACCTGTCACCTCCATCCCCAGCATTGCCGGGATGACGCAGAAGGGTGTGAAATACATTTGTGGTGGGGGGGAGAGCCCGTTACACCTCATCCAGCAGCTCCAGCCATGTTTGCAAACAACATGGGCTCTCTAGTTAGCTTGCTGTGGTCTTTGGATAGATGCTGTTGGGAGCGGGAAGAACTGAGCAGCTGGTGCTGATCCCAAAGAGCCACAAAGCTCCCAACCACCGCAACAGGGGGATGTGAACAGATGGGAGATGCACTCAAGTGATGCAAGGGGAACATTGATGCTAAGAGATGTTTTTTGCCAATGCCAGCTGACTTTTTTAAAGATATTTTAGTATACTTTCAAATACTTGAAAAGCTTCAAGATCTTGAATGTAATGTTTTTAATATAAATGAAGCCCAAAAGAGGGCTTCCCCAAAGAGAAGAAGGAAAATAGTCAAGAAAAGAGGCTGAAGAAGGAATGACTTCTCATGGCCAGGTTTAGAATTGAATAAGGAGCTGTCACCAGGGTCCCTCTGGCACATAATGTCCCTTCAGCAACACTTCCCACCTTGCACCTCCATATCCAGCCCTGAGCTGAGATTGCCCCTTGCTGTACGCTGCTTTGCATTTCTCAGTTTGTATTTCTGAGCCTCGCATTTCTGAGCCTCTTCGAACACCCAGTATCTTCCCATCCAGCAGCCTCCAGGACACTGAGAGATCTGAAGCAAAGATACAAGGAGGTTTTATCTAGCGATTTTCAATTAGATCAGGACATGCTCTGGCCGTTCTTCTGTGCTGCACTCATAATGCAGATGATCTTCATGTCAGCTTGGTCTCCATTCCTCCTACTATGTTGGCTCCAGCTTCATTTCGTTAGTGATGGCCTGCCTTCATTAGTGAATTAATTCCTCAGGAACTGCACTGCAATAAACCTTAGCAGAGCAAGGACCAGCAAAGATGCATCTCAGGGCTGGCAGGGCAACTGTAAGTATTTTCTGGTGTAAAAGGTATTCAGAGAAATACTAAGAAAAAGGATTATTCAAACCAGACCTGGAATCTTTGAGGCTTTTTCAATCAAGACAAGAGGAGATGTTTCCTCAGTGCTAGATCTGGATTGACCTGTGGATTAGAGGTCTGGGAAACAGGCCCTCCTATCTATCTTGGGGACAGACCCGAGGACAGAAGTCAAATTGATAGGAGAGCAACAAATAACACCACTCATCATGCATTTTTGGATGTGTCCTGAAAGCTGTTAGAGGGCCATGGGGCCACCCACTGCCAGACAGTTCAAGAGCTTGCCTGCAGCACCCCAAAAAGGGGCAGGCAGTGGCTCTTCCCAAAGGAGTCTGCTCCAGCTCAATCAGACTAATTTTCAGACCAATTTTTCTGCCTCCACTTGTCACTTGTGCTTCCTCTGGGGATGCAGACAGCACCCTATCAATAATTGATATTTTGGCTCTTTGTCTTATATTTCAAACCCTCGCAGACATCCTTGTTCTGCACCAAACCAAAGCTCCTGCCTATCCCAGTTCACTGCAATATCAGCATATCACAGACAACCGCTGTGGTCTCTCCACATTCCTTTCTCCTGGCCTTGGCAGTGTGTCCAGGAGTGATGCCCATCACCGTGGGGAAGGGACAGCACCAATACCGCCAGTGAGGGAGGGCAGGCGGAAAACTGGCAATTATGGCCAGGCTCAAAACCCCACAGATGAAGGAAACAAACCAAAATTGTATGATGATGGTAGTGACCATTATCTTGGATGTTTTAGGCACAGCTGTTAATAAAAGTAATAGTAGCAATAAAATTGTAATGATGGTAGCAATTGTTCAAATGACAATGATAATAATATAATTATTTATTAATTGTAAGCCATTATCAGCATTTACTAGTGCTTCTACCTCCCAGACCCATCCCAAATTCCATCTCTATCACATTAATACAAAATGAGATAAATGAGAAAGGCATTTGCTTGATGGCATGATCAAAGCAGAATGATGGGAGCAGCAGAGATTGCTCATGGCCCCTCTGCTGTTTGTGCCCCCACAAATCACTCTGCAGCAGGGTCAAGCAATGGGCAGGATCTTGCATTTCCCTTCTTTTCAGTAGGGTTTGCAGCCTTCAGAGTGGCTGAGCTTCATGGGTTCCCCATGGCCAGACCCCACAGGGTGTATGGAGGAGGAACTTGGAGTCATTTTATATATTTTTATCATTCCTGTGCAAGGCTGATGGGTGGTATGGGCACCCTGAGCCCCCAGCTCATTTCTCTGCAGGGTGCTCTGCTTGGTGGGCATCACTGCCCTCGGCTTGTTGCTTGAAGGAGCAAAGGCAACAAAAGCCCCAGCTCCAGATGTTGCTGATTTCTATGGGTTTGCTGATTTCTATGGTTTTGCTGATTTGGGCTCTGGCTCTTGTGACAGTGATGGTGTTGGCACATGTGCAGGGGGATGCACCAGAGAGGTGCAGGGCGTGTAAGCAGGGCAAGGAGGGGGCAGGCAAGGTCCAGAGGTTCAGACCATCGTGTGTGTGGGGCCAGGGACATGCAGTGAGGAGGGCTGGGTGTGCAGCAGGGAGTGGGACGGGGGTGTGCTGAGGACTGCGTGCACAGTGAGGATGGATGGAGGTGCCTTGAAGATGAATGGATGTGTGTTAAGGAGGGATGGAGGTGCAGGGAGGATGGATGGAGGTGCACTGAGGACAGAGGGGACATGCACTGATATGGGGAGGTGGACAAGCAACTGGCAGCCTGAGGGGCAGCTGCTCTGCTGAGCGCATGCTACACCCTCTGCACTACGTGGGCTTGCACAAAACCCTGGGACCTGAGGTCTGTGCGACCTCTGCAGCTGTCCTGATAGCCATCTGCAACAGCACACCACGTGCTGGAGCTGCGGGGGGCCAGGGCCATCCATGCTGGCCCCCTGCAGCCATTCTCCATCCCCTCTGCTCCAGCTGCAAGCATGAATCCTGCATCCTCTGATCCAGCTTGTGGCTAAAGCCGGGGTCTCAGTGCTCACTCTGTTCCCTCCGCTCCCCAGATCCAGATGTGTGGGCAGGGGAAGATGGGGTGGGTGCTCTGGGAGCAGCTCCATGCCTGGGTACTGGCTCCAAGCTCCAGGAGGGTGCCTGGGGACAACAGGGACATCACTGCCACCCTGCAGCCTCTTCTTGACCCAGCTCTGGGGGAGAGGAGCACCCAGAACCTCAGCAAAATTAGTAGAACCCCCTCGAAACCCCTAAATGTGGGTGATGTGGGACCAGCACTCCTCCTTATGGGGACCTCCCCATCTTCCTGCCACCCACTGCTCCCATGGGTCCCCCCTTTCCCCTCTCTCATCCCACAGTGCTGGCATTCTCCCACCACCCCTTGGGCCCCCAGTGCCCCAGCTCTCCCTGCCTTGTTGGCTTTCTCAGGGTCTCCTGCCCTCTCTCCTCCCCTCCAGGAATAAATCACCCTCCGGCTCTCAGAGGAAACAGCAGCCTGCCTTGCCACCTCCTTCCCATGGGACCTGCCTGCCTCCGAGATGCTGGGAATGGTTTTGCAGACCAGAGGGGGTCATTTGGGAAAGCCACCGGGGGCAGGAGGCTCCGGACCCTCTGTGCTCCTGGGGACTGATGTCCCCTCTCCATCCTGCTCCCACCCTGACACCCTGCCCATGAGATGGGTCTTGAGAAGAGACCTTTGAGGCAGAATGAGTGGCTTTGGGTCCTTGGCAGATTTATTAAAAAGCTCCCAAATGCTCTATTTTTCCACCTCAGCTAAAGGCTAAAGACAAGCAGCAGGGAGCTCTGAGCACCAGGACAGGGCTCCAGGTTCCCCAACCACCTCCAAGCAATCCCCATGGCCAGGTTAACACCGGCATCACTGCAAAACCCAACAAACAGCCAGAAAAAAAACATTCCTGGTTCAATCCCCTCCGGTGGAAAGTAATAACACTCGGGCTGCGAATCCACCCAGCCTCCGATGAGAAGCTTTCCTCTGAGGGCCAGGGGGGAAATCAATCTAGCAGGCTTCGCTTCCCGCTTGGAAAGCTCTGGAGAGCTGGGACCAGCCCCAGCGCGATGCCCACAGCAGCGGGGAGGGCACAGAGCCCAGCTGGGGCTCTTCTTGCCTCCTGCCTCCATCCCTTGGCACCAGCCCATTAGGAAAGAGGGGTTTGTCGATGGGGCCGACACATTAGGAAATGAAACAGGCTGTGCCCAGGAGCAGCCCCAGGGGACCATTAGCACCGCTGGATGCTTCCTCCACCCAGCAGGTCTCCGGGGAAGCTTTTGCTGGCGATTTCCTCCCCTGGCACAGAGGGAATCAGCCTGGCAGGGAGAAAGCACGCAGCAGGAGGGAAGGGCCACCCGCTGCTGTGGGTGTGGGTGCTCGGGTGGGAGGTGGGCTGCCATGGGACCCCCCCCAGATACGGGGGTGGCTTCTAATTGAGTGAACACACGGGCATACACCAGGTTGCTAATGCACTTCCTGGCTTCTCATCAAAGCCAGGAGCTCCAGCACCACCCTGGAGGGCTCTGCCCATCCCTGGGGCTGGGGAAGGTGCTGGGAGGCAGTGTGGGGCTCCACGGAGAGAAACCAGGCCAAGGGAAGGTGGTGAGGAGCATCTCTGCCTCCTCTGCAGGGGCACTGCCGCCCCACGCGGAGCAGTGTTAACCCCCAGGCCAAATCTCCTGCTTGTGTTTAATTCTTCCCTACGGTTGTTGTCTCCTCCACAGGTACAAGAGCGTGGTGACACCCCGGAGGGCAGCAGTGGCCATCGCTTGCTGTTGGATCGTCTCCTTCCTGGTGGGACTCACCCCGATGTTTGGCTGGAACAACCTGAACAAGATGCGGAGGACTCACGAGCTGAACGGCAGCCACGCGGAGTTTGTCATCAAGTGCCAGTTCGAGACGGTGATCAGCATGGAGTACATGGTGTACTTCAACTTCTTCGTCTGGGTCCTGCCTCCCCTGCTGCTCATGCTGCTCATCTACCTGGAAGTCTTCAACCTCATCCGCAAGCAGCTCAACAAGAAGGTCTCCTCCAGCTCCAACGACCCCCAGAAGTATTACGGGAAGGAGCTGAAGATCGCCAAGTCCTTGGCACTGGTCCTCTTCCTCTTTGCTCTCAGCTGGCTCCCCCTGCACGTCCTCAACTGCATCACCTTGTTCTGCCCATCCTGCGAGACGCCGCACATCCTCACCTACATCGCCATCTTCCTCACCCACGGCAACTCGGCCATGAACCCCATCGTTTACGCTTTCAGGATCAAGAAGTTCCGGACAGCCTTCCTGCAGATCTGGAACCAGTACTTCTGCTGCAAAACCACCAAAACCGACAGCAACACCATAGCCGAGACGGTCAACTAGGAGCTGGGGGGAGCTGCTGGTCCTGCCGTCAGGGGAAGGGGTGATGAGGACCCAGGAGGGCTGCAGTTGCCAGCCCCGTGCAATCTGAACAGCCGAGTCCCCGAGCTGCCCAGGGGGTTATTTATTCACAAGCATTGTACTGTTTTGATATTGTAGCCTGCACTGTTCCTCTCTTTTTATTTTATTTTATTATTATTATTTTTTTTGGTTCGATTTTTATTTTTAAGGGTTGCCAAGTATTTAAGGAGAAATTGTACAGACGAAGGCGCGGTTTATCTTAACGCAAATAAAGTAAAATGATAAAAATCACCCAGGGGTTCCTCTGCCGTCGATGGGGACCTCTGGCTCCTCGGAGCAGCTGGCGGTGCCGGGCACCTTGCCCTGTGGCCACCACATCCGTGGGCCCGTGGGCTGCCTGGGCACTGTGGGCAATGACCACACCATCCCCATGGAGCAAAGAGTCAGCCTCCAACCCCAAAGGCTGCTGCAGAGGGGAGGAGAAACCTTTAGCATGGCTCCAGAGCACACTGAGCAAGGGGCACCCTTTGTTGCCCCAATCCGTCTCCCTACAGACCCCTGCGAGCTGCACCCAGGGCACTGTGTCCCCTCCACGTGATTTCTTCTCCTCCTGCTCTGATGGCTTTGGCTCTTTCTTCTCTCTGGTGTCTTCTGCACAAGGCAGAAGCAAGTCTCCCCTAGCCCCTAGTGGCCTCCTCCCTCTCCCACCTTGCTCCCTGCACCTGCACCAGACCCTTGTGACCTGTGGTTTTGGGGTGAATGCAGCCACCTCCATGGCCCACTTCTTCCAGGGCTGAAGTGGCAGTGGGAAGAGTTAATCTGAGTTACTGGGGATTCCCTTCTTATCAGCATCCCTTGTTTGTCCATCTCCCATTGGAAGCACCCTTCCTATGGCACTTTCCCTGCCCCAGGGACATCAGGGATGGTGAAGTGACTGCAGCAAGTTCCTGCAGGGGCTGGAGGACTGCAGGGAGGAAAAGGACCTTGGGTGGGTGGGATTTATGGGTGGGATTTACGGGTGGGGTCTGTGGGTGGCTGTTCAGCTGGCTTCGCACAATCCCCACAGCCAGCCCCGTTTAGCCTGGAGGGAGCTCTGATGACATACACTGAGCTGAACCCCAGCTCAGGTGCAGAGCCCCAAAATCCTTTATCAGCAGTGCCCACGGGTGCTGCAGCCCCATGGTAGCACCAAGGGGACTGCCCAGCAGGAGCTTGGCCGCAGGTTGGGGCTGCTCTTTGCCGAGCACAGGGCAGCTTTCCACTTGCGGCTTGTTTCTGCAAGAGGTTGCTTTCCTGGAAATGATGCCTCTGCCCGATCCTTGCTAAGGTGCCCAGAAACCTCACAACTGGGATGCTCATAAATTAAAAGGCATTTGGATGATTGCTTTCAGAAAAAAAAAAAAAAAAATAAAGCCAACAACATCTAGCAGATTTTTCCGCTCCATGCCCTCCGGACCTTTCCCGGGAGAGCTCACTAAAAGTGGATGCTGTTGCCCTCCCCGGTCCCCTGGGGGCTTGCAAGCACTCCTTGCCCTGCAGGACTGTACTAACAGCCAGAAAAGGGCACAGGGTGCAGCACCGCACAGGCTTGGCGATGCTGCTTCTGTTCAGCAGGGCTACAAACCCTCTGCTCATGCAACCCACTCCCAGCCTCATCTTTCCCCAGTCAAAGCCACGCGTGGAGATGATGGGGGCACTGCGGGGGGCGCAGAACATCCCTGCCAGTGCCCATGGCCAGGTGGGGATGCCTGGCCCACCGCCCAAACGGCTGGACCTCAGCCTCCACCCCGGTGGCATTGCTCACCCAGCCGCCTCGATAAGCCAGCCTGACCATCAGCTGGGATAAAAATTAATCCGACAATGCCCTCTGATGGTGGAAACGATGTCTGGTGTGGGCAGTGCTCAGTGCCGTGCCGGTGCTGAGCCCCTGGGCTTCAGGGCACTGGGTGACCTGGAGCAGAGGGTTCCCACCGCAGGGCTGATGGAGGGGTGCTGCAGAGGAACCGGGCGTTTTAGCCGTAGGTTTGCAGTGCCAGGGCCCACCAGGAGAGCCAGGACGTCTGTGTGAGGGCAGGCTGTGGGTCTGGCCCCACGGCTGAGCTGGGAATGCTCCTGCCTCGCCCCAATGCTGGCTCCATCAGCCCGGGAGGGCTGTGCTGACGGAGGAGCTGCCCCACGCTGCTGACCCCCGGCTAGCAGCGCGTTCACTCACCCTGATGGATCTGTCTGGGCTCCCTGTTATTAACCAGCATCTGACCCGAGCCGTCTCAGAGCTCTAAGTAATGAGGCCGCCTTCTTGCACATGAGCTATCGGTAGCTAACGGGGCCGATTCCTCCTCCAGATAACTTATGGGCACATCCTGACCCCGCAGCCTCGTGCCCTGGGGAGGAGATGCTGCTGGCAGGGTGACGGTGTGTGGCTGGCTCATTGTGTCCCTGGTGAGGATGAAGAAATTGCTCTTGGATGAAGACACATCAACATGACTGTGTTTTGATCTTGCTATTTCTTTTCTTTTTTTTTCTTTCCACCCCCCCAGCTATGATCACTCTCCAGCTGCAGCAGAAAAAACTTTTCCCCCTCCTCCTCCTCGTTGTCTTGCTTCTGGTTTATCCATCTTCATGTTTTATAAATCTGCTCCTTTCCTTACAGGCTCAAAAACCGCCTCCTCCACCCATGGCTGGGTGGGATGCTGAGACCCCATAGCATCCCCGGCATCTCTTTGCCCTCTACCCCAACACCCACCCCAATTGCCAACCCCACAACAAGCAGGACACAGTGTTTGCTGAGGACCAAAGCTCAGACGGGCTTGTTTTATTGCCACAGGTAAGAACACACCCAGAGAGAGCCATGCCATGGCCAGGCCAACGTGCGGGACCCCGGGGGCACCGCCAGGGAGGGGGCAGCCCCGCAGGCAGGGGGCTGTGGCCGGGAGCATCGCCGTGTGCTGTGCTGCTGCAGCCTCTGCCTGGGGAAAGGAACAAGCCCTGAGTCCTGCCAGCCCTGAGCAGGGCTCCATCAGCAGCTGACGAGGGCTGATCCAGGACCCCAGCCTGCCCCAGCCCTGATGGAGTGAGCCATCCTCCTTCCCTCCCACCCACTGCCCCAGCCCAGACCTACCTCACTCTTCGTCTCACCCTCCAACCCGTCCTCACTTGGGCACTGCAGGAGAGAATGGGAGATGTAAGACCGGTGAACTCCCCTCCCCTCACTCCCCTCTGACATCTAAAAGTGAGCCAGGGCACGACAAATCCACCCGTGTGCACACACTGACAAAAACCCATGTGCACCATCCCTGTGCATATGTGCTCCAAGAGATTACGTGCACGCACTGCCTTCTCCCGGACAGTTTGTCCCCAGCACCCCAGGTCCCAACCTAGGCGATGGCCAGGTGCTCTGTGTCCCCGGCACAAGGACAAGCTTGTCATTAAGGGCTGGGTGCTCTGCTGAGGCAGGGAAATGGGAGCTGGGAAGCCTGGGCAGGACCCTGAGACATAAATCAGGGCACCCCAGGTGCAAGTGAAGCTGATTTTGGCACGTGTGGCTTGCAGATGACTTGGGACACAAGCGCTGGTGGATGCAGTGAGGAGCAAGCGACTGTCCCAGCCTCCACCAGCACCTCTGGTCCTTTGCCCCTGCAGTCTCTGGGTCCCTCCCCACCCTTTGGCCATGAACGTGGGAAGGTGATTTCAGGAACAAGGGACGATGCAAGACTGTCAAGCCAAGAAGCCCAAAGCTCCAGCCTCACAGGGCTGCCCAGTGCCCTAAGGCTCCCCCCCAGGAGTCCTCCACCAGGACTCAAACAAAAACAGGGACAAACTGAAGCACCGTGAAAGCAAGGCCAGAGAAAGGCAGGCAGGGAGAGCTGCTCCTCTCTCGCCTCAGCAAATCATACTTTTCACATCAAGTTTGCAGTCTACCGAAGCTTCTCCCAGGGGGTTCACAGCTTTGCAGGTGTAGACGCCCCCGTCGAAAGGGCCGGGCTTGCGGATTTCCAGGGAGCAGACACCCTGATCGATCAGTGCTATGTATTTGGGGTCTTCCCGTATCTCCATCTGATTTTTCATCCAGATGATTTTGGGCTGGTAGGCAGCAAGATATACATATATATTTAAGCAGGGAGAGAAATGAGAAATCTGACCGTCCCCAGAATGCAGCCACCTCCTTCTGCTCCATCTGAAGCTGGTGGCCATGGTGGGATCCACAGCCAGAAGCCATTTGAAGAGCAAGGAACTCCCATTCTGAAGCCCCAACCACCACCCACAGCTGCTCTCCTTGTGTAGGAGGAGACAGGACACAGCTTGAATTGCAGCCAGCCTCCACTCCACATGCAGAAACACCCCAGGTTTGCCCTCAGGTTCACCTGTTGGACAGCTGCTGCCCCCCAACTCTATTCAACCCCAACTCAACCTGACCAACTACCTCCCAACACTTCCAGCCACCTTGCAAGAGCCCAGCTGGTGGCTGCCCACACGCAGGGGTGATGCTGCCCATGGAGGAGCCACTGACCTGGGGGAAGCCCCGGACAGAGCAGAAGAGGTGCGTGTTGTAGCCCCGGGTGGTGGCTCGGTCTGTCAGGGGCTGGGTGAACTTTGGAGGCTCCATCATGTCCCGTTCGGGGATCTTCTCTGGCTGGTAAACAGTTTCTAGGAAATTAATTAAGTGCAGGTTGAGGCAGAGCTTGGGACCCTGGGTTGACCACCACATGGTCACAAGAACTCAGCTCAAGGTACCCCAAAATCCTTCTGCTCCCTCGCATAAGCTAGACAGCATCTGGAGTGGCTTTGAGGACCTGGCCTCACACCAGCCCTGTCTGCAGACCCCTTCTCATCCAACCACACCACGTTCATGCCCAGTCCCAGGGGATGAGAGGGGCGATACCCATCTGCAAACCAGCACCCTGATGCTTGCTCTGTGCAGGAGGTTTTATCCAGGCCAGGCACCTCGCTGGACCTTCTGCTCCATCCCCAAAATGAAGTGCACAGAAACAGGAGCTGGAATAGACTCTGGAGGTGGCAGAGACCTGCTTTGATCTCACCCCAGGGATGTTCACTCCTTGATTCCTCCCAGGGGTCTGCCCATGGCACAAGCCTTCCCCAAAGGAGAAAGGAGGCAGAGAAGGAGGGCAGGGGACATCTGTCCATCTGTCCTGAGGACGCACAGCCTTCACCCAACAGGGCTCATCCCAGGGAGCATCACCACCCACCCAACGCTGAGGAAGCCCCAGTGGGGACAGGAGCCCTCTTGCCCACCCCACCACCCCCAAACCCTGTCCCTGTCCCCACTTTTCTTC